TATTTTTATTTAATTAAAAAAAAAAAAAAAAAAAATCGGACATACTTTTAAAATTCACGTTTAGATTCACAAAATTAAACATTTAACATAATTCTGAAAGGACATTCAGATAACTGTATATTTTTCCTCAATATAACCCTCAATTCGATTACTTATCAATTTCCTTCATTTCCTAAAGAATTTATAATCAATTAGTCCTTATCTTTCCTTATAAGACCTGGAACTAGGAGACATCCAGAGTCAGCTGGCCCAGGATCTCGATAAGTAATACGTAATCCAATTTTCTTGCTTTTATTCCCCATTAACTCAAAGCGTTCATCATGAGGAGAAAGATAATTTCTCTACGCTGCAGAAGCAGATAAAAAAAACAAGGACCTTGTTTAATTTGATGTGAATTAAGAGTAATGTCATTAGCATAACCTACATACAGCGAGCAGCTTCAATAGTGTGAATGTATTTGTGAAGGTTTACTCTCCAGTTAGGGGATTTAATTCAGTGAGGCCTTTAGGAAGCTCTTTTGTTGGATTCCCCCGATTTAGATGACAAAATTTTCCAGTGAAACTGTGCATGTGTTCCTGCGTTAGGTCATAAACTAGCAAAAACTTACAGTAAACAAGGAGTTCAATCCCCAGACCACATCCTAGAAGAAAAAAACAAGTTAAAGAACATTAACAAACACACTACACTTACTACATTATATGCATACTATGTACATATTTATACTATGTTTTTAAAAACATTCAGATTTTTGACTTCTGATAATGAAGAAAAACATTTTTGTTTATTTATTAAATTCTATAAAAGCGAATGAAAGATGACGTGCAAAACGACAGCACAAAAACATCTTATAAGTCTGGCAAACTTTTTGACAAGCAGATGTCAGAAACTGATGAACAACTCAACACAACATGTATAAGATCTATAACACAATTCAAAACTTTTATAAGAAGTCATTTTCTGCTGAAGTGCTCCAAACTAGCAGAGAACGTGAAAATTCCTCAATAGCTGACATCTAGCAACACGTTTGTTGAATAAAACCCTTAAAGGCCAGCCTTTCTTTGTTTTGGTGTAAGTGTATTTCCCCTATCTGAAAACACGTTATTAAAGATAAACTGTTTCCTTGACCAGAATGTCAAAAACGGCAAACAATTTCAAAAATGTTTATTAATTTTTATACATAACCTGTTATATAAACACATTTTTACACGTCTAGTAATTTCCTCAAAAGCAAAAAGATGTTTTTCAGTGCCGTCTCATGTTGGGATTATGCACAGTAAAAAAGTTGAAGGGTGATCTTCACCCACAATAGCTACAGTAAAGAAAAAAACGACAGTTAGAAATGACAACAAGTACATCAGAAGAAATTGTGAGAGACCAAAAAGACTAAATAACCTTCATTTCATTCACTTGCTAAATACAACTTCCAATACTGATCATTTTAAATGATCGCATTGATTTAACTGAATGCTTTCAGAAGTTTCGTTTACCTTCATCCATGCCATTTTGTTAATTACATAATTACATGAAGTTCTGAGTAATAATTATTTTAAAAGACAAACAACTAGCTTGTCTTTCAAAGTTCTGAAGGTGTGCACTGGATGCTTTGTGAGAAAAGTAAACACAAAGTCTTCTCGTTGTACAATGTTCATGATATTAAAACCAAAGGTTTTCTCTTCCAAATCATGGTGAGCTGAAACTAAATCCCTTCCAGCTTTTATTAAAGCCAGTCTAAAGTAAGAGATTATTTTTTACTTTGCTGTATTCTTCTTAAAGCTGTAAGGCACTGCAGCCAGTGATATGCCCTTCTAAGCAGAAGAAAGTTTATGAGCGACAAGAAAAAGAAAAGTCAACACGAGCTCCGAGTGAACTAGAAGTTAGGTAGGTAAAAACCACTTTAGAGAAAACATCCGCAAAACACAAAAGGAAAAAATGTGAGGAAAATGATTACCTGAAGAAAAACAAAAACAATGTTATTACCACTCCAATCAACCTAGAAGCAAAAACTACACTCCACTGACTTACGTTACATACTTCACTGCAAGGACACCCCGGCAGCCCAGTGCTCAGAGCCACGAGTGTGAGCAGAAGTCAGTAAAAGAGAAAGGACGACTTTGAAAAGCGTCATAACGCCTTTCCAATCAACATCTCCAGAATTTTCTAAAAGCTATAGTGCACCTTAAAAACAAACATCGGATTTAAACTGTGAAACAAACTGCTTTTTTTCTAATACATGTAGGCACAATATTTCTGCTGAAATAAACCTTAAAGCAATGAAATATTGAATATGGCATGACTATATACAAATACACACAGCAAAGATATTTCATGTAGCAGTGTGTGGGCTGAAGTACAGAAGAGCGGTGACCAACAATCCTTTTTTTGTTTTCTTTTC